AAAAAAAAAAAAAAAAAAAACAATAATAATTACAGCAACATGAAATGAAATAGAAAAGCAAAATCCCTTTATTCGTTTTCTTTTTCTTTACTCTACTACGCATTATCATCATAATCATCATCATACATTACTTCTCTAGGATCAAATAAATACATACACACATATCAGAACAATAAAAATATTCAAACAGAGTTGTTACGTGTTGTACTTCAAACTTCATTCCATAACTATACATATATATATATATAGTTATCATTGGGGGATTTGAAGAAAAAGAAAAAAAAAATTCATCATCATGAAAATTGTTATTGATAATGATGAGTTCGTCTATATCACTAAGTGTGAAAGTGAAAGAGAAATAGAGAGGGAAATAAACAATCAGACACGCACAACATACACATACATACACACACACACAGTAAAGTAAAAAAAAAAAAGAGAACAAAAAAGATGTACAGAGTTTTTACGGCAACCAGATGAGGTGCGATTTTCACCTCTTCTCTATTGGATTGGATAGGGGGTAATAATAATAGTAATAATAACAATTGAAGAAAAACAAAGAAACAAACAAAACAGTCAAGAAAATGACAATATTTCATTTCTCTCCTTTCTCTTTTCTTTTTATTTCATTTGCATTATAAATATCAAACCACAAGAGCAAACAACACTAAAGAAATAATCTCCAGAATCCAAGCAGTTAAAAGTAATCCAAATCCCACCCCATAAGCCGTCGTTCGGGGCAGTTGTGTATCTTCACAGTAGCGGGAAGTATAGATACTAGTCGTCATACACCAACAAATCAATTCAAAGACTAAAGCCACTGCTGTTACTATTACAATACGCCACTTTAAAGGAGATTCTACTTTTAAAAGTGATGCTTCTTGTTGATTATTCACTCCTTCACCATTAGAAGCAGCATTTACAATATATTTCCTTCTTCGTCCTTCTGCACGATGAATCATTAATGCCTGTAAATTAAAGAATAACAAAGCACTCATAAGAAGAATAGCCAATATAGAGAATGCAGCTCCAGTTTGCAATCGAGTTTTTATCTTTGAACATGAAAGCAACTCTGGGCGGATGGAGTAACTAACGGTATCACAGCTGTTCTTATAACCCCAATAGGTATAACAGGCACCCCCAACCACATCTAACTGTGAAAGGGAAGTTCCCAGAATCGTAAAAAACCAGTTTACAAAGGAAATAACGAAAAATATACAAAAAACAAGTTTATTATTAATACAAGAGAAAAATCCATTAACCTTATTCACTACAGGTGCTGCAGGATTTTTCCATTTGGGTTTTGGTTTTTCTTTCTTTCCCGCTCCACGTGTGGGAGTCTTGTTGCGGTTAGAAGGTGTAGTAGTAGTAGTATTAGTATTAGCTGCTGCTGTTGTTGTTGCTGCGGGCTGCGCGGATTCACCCGTTTGTTCTCGTCCATCGCCGCTATGCACATCATTCTCCGACAATTCTGATAAACTGTCATCATAATCATCACCACGAGGGGAATATTGTTGTTGTTGTTGTTGTTGTTGTTGTTGTTGATTGCGTGCTTGTGGGACTTCATTTCCTTCTTGGGCTCCAGTTCTACTGGTGGGTTTTTTCCTGTCAAACATCTTGTTGATACCCTTGAGCATGGGAAGAGATTTATTTTTTTCTTCACTTTCCCGTTCAACCCCTTTCACTTTCTATCTCAGTATATATATATATATATATATATACTATACGGGGTGATCCCGAGTATTGTTGGACTTTGAACTATTTCTTTCTTCTTCTACTGCGTTGCCTACCTGCAACGAGTGACTACGTTAAAAGAAGAAAGAAAGAGAGAAAAATAAGTAAATACAGAAAAAAAAAACATCAAGTAATATATTGCACATCTGGATGTGCATAACTTTTTAAGGTCATGTGCTGGCTCTTTTTTTTTTCGTTTTATCGGTAGTTACCACTGATAGAAACGTTCAACGGTCAAAACAACTTCACGATGATTTCCATGCTCCCAGTTTGAATGGGCTATAATAACAGACCATTAATAAAATAAACCATACTTATCACCTATTCTATCTGATTACACATAAAAAAAAAAGAAAAAAACGAAGAACAACAAAGAAAACGTAAAATAAAAATAAAAGAACTTTTTTTTGATGAATTATTTATAATCACGTGTTTATGCTTACACAGATATGACTATATATATATATATATATATATATATATATATATGCCCCTCCTCCCCTCCCCTTGTACGTTGTGCATTCTAAATGCACGTTTTTTTTTTTCTCTACCCCTAATGATTTTCACCCCAACCCCCTTTCTTTTTCTTCTTTTAAAGCTCAAACACCTCCCGTAGCTTCTTCGCAACCGCATCCTCTGTGTTACTACCAATAATCTCCAGATGCGGTAATGCCTCCTTCAGTCGTTGCTGTCCATTCTGCATCACACAACCCTTTCCTGCGGCCGCCAGCATCTTATAATCATTCATACCATCACCAAAAGCAATGATATCCGCAACATCTATATTAAGCAGCGATGCCACGTGTGCCATGGCACTGCCCTTATGAACACCAGGCGGCACAAAGTCCACTATTGTTGGAAGTGAGAAACTGTGTTCACCGCAACCCTCAAAGCGGCGCTGCAGTACATTCTCCAACTTTATCAACTTCTCGTGAGGTCCAACATAGAATACTTCATGAACTCCATCGCTTGGATATGTATGAAGTTCTTCTACAACTTTGTAGGAAAAGCCAGAGCGGGCATAGGCGGCCAACATACGCTCCACACCGTAATTTGTTACCCACTCATCATGGCGGTACATATTGGTTGAAAATGCTGGGGGTGACTTCTTCTTTGCATCTGCGTCCTTGGTGGTACCATCCTCGCTCACATTATTATTATCATCATCATCATCATCACCATCGAGTGTTAGTTGTACTAGTTCCTTCACAACGGCGGGGTCCAGATCATGTGAGACAACTATGCGTCGTTCTGGGTCGTGAATGCGAGCCCCATTAGAAGTGATGATGTAACCACCTTGCAGGCCGCAGGCATCAATGGTGTGAAGGACATCCGGGAAGGGACGACCAGTGGCAAAGATAAGAGGAATTCCCTTTTCTTTAAGGAGCTGCAGTGTCTCGAAAGTGTATGCGGAGATGTTGTGATGAGCATCCAGGAGGGTGCCATCAAGGTCTGTTATCACGGCTCGAAATGGCATAGATGAAAGTAGGATGATATGTATGTATTTATTTATTTTCCTTCTCTTCTTTTGCGTGTGTGTGTAAATGTGATGTCGAGGGATTGTCTCAAAGGAAAGTAAAAAATCCCCTTATGTAAATTAAAGAAAATATAATGGTCTAAATTAATCCTATCCACCAGTTACAGAATTATTATTATTATTATTATTATTATTATTATTATTATTATTCATTGATAGCATCATAAGAAGAAAAAAAAAAGATCAATATATATGTATATAAAGAGAAATGTACATTTAACGATATGAAGAATAACAATAACATCAAAAGAGGCAAAAAAAAAAGAAAAGATCCAACACCCACACTCACAAAGTGAAGCAACATAACCAAAAAAAAAAAAAAAATGAAAAACAAAAAACAGGGCTACTTACACAAGAAGGGAGCACACAAATACAGATGATACACGAGACCATATTCGCAGTTTACCTTCTGGCACAAAAACGAAGAAAAGAACATTAGTAGCAAAACAGCAGGAGAAACATTACAAAGTCAAAAACACAAATATTGGCGTCGAAAAAAAGAAAAAAAAAAAAAACAGAGAAGAATAAAAGATGATAAAAGCAAATAATTACAAACAATTCCCAGCAGTACATAGTATCCATCGTCCAAAGGAAAAGTCCAGCAAAAAAAAAAAAAAGAAAGCGATACAACTTACACCACCGTGTAACGCGCTCAAACTCAGAGACACTTAGCACAAAGAGGGTTGTCTCATATAATCGTTCACCAATGCAGCTTATTTAATATGCACAAGGAGATCATTTTTCATATTTTTTTTTCTCCAGAAACTGAAATGAATCGACACGCAAACACACATACCGAGAGAGACAGATGTACTGATAGGTACACTATATAAGAAGAGAATATACAGAAAAGAAAAGAAAGCACATAACATCCTCTCTCCCTGTTTCTCCTTGTCATGGTGACGAATCTCACCCTCCCCTGCTGTTCTTGTGCTCCTAACTCTCTTTCTCTCTCCCTGGCCCGCCTATTCCGCCTCTTCGGACTTCTCCTTCGTGTAGCTGGAGAGTGGTGGGAGGGCGGAGGGGCGGATGAGCATCTTCCGCACGAGCCAGACGAGATGGAAGATCCTGTACCGCCGCGTCTGGTCCAAATACTCCACGCCGCTGGTCGTCCCGCCGGTCCCGCCGCGCCGGCCGATCATCCGCTCCGCCATGTGTGTGTGCCGGCCGCGCCAGAGCAGCATTCCCTCCTCCAGCGCCACGAGGGCATCCAAGAGGGCCGCCGCGTTCGCGCAGGCGTCGTCGTTGCGGTACGACATCACGAAGAGGGCGCCCCGCACGGCGCGGGTGTATTTCGCGCGGGCCTCGTCGTCCGGCAGGAGAACGCCGTCCGTCCACGCCGCGGGGTCCTCGAGCATCGACTTCATGTTCACCACCGCCGTCTCAACGAGCCGCTCGCTCTTCACATCCCCCCGCCGCGCCTTCGCAATGCCGTACTGCTGCTCCTCGTGCACACTGCGGGTGGTGCGCAGATAGACCTCCACAAAGTCATCGGGGACCTCCACACTCGCATAGAGGTCAATCACAAGCGAGGATAAACTCGGCTCACGCGCCTCACGCTCCAGAAGCTGCTGCTCCTCATCATGAAGATAGGAAAAGACAGAGGCATCATTCACAAGGCAGCGTGTGGAATTAGGAACACCAAGAAGTTGCTCAAGAAGACGAAAGGCAACAGACTGAAATCCAGAAGCAGGTACAAGATAATCACGAAATTCAAGAAACTCAGAAGGATGCATGGTTTCCAAAATACCAAATGCACCTGTACAATGATGAAATATAGCTTCAGCACGGTTAATATAACGAATTGCTTTTTGCATAAGTCGTGGTGTTTTCGTTAAGTCTGATAAAGAAATGTTTTTCAGACAATCACGAGAGAGACGTAGATCTTCAATCATCAATTTAAACCAAAGTTCAAATACTTGATGTGTTATAATAAAAGTAAGTTCTTCATGGTGTACTAATCCTCTTCCACCTGGTTTACCACTTGAAACACCATCTTGCAGCTGGGTAAGGACATCAATACCAAGATATGAGGAATAATGTGTGGGTTCCTTTTTTAATGTGAGAAAATCACTTTCTGTTGTAACAAATCCAAGAATAGAGGAATTTCCAGGATCATCAGAAGAAACTTCATTCCCTTCTTCTGCTACTTTATCACGTGTTCGTTTTTGTTGATTAACACCTGCACATCTTTGGTCATTGCTTCTGGGAGAATCTGATTCCAACTGATGTAAAAATGGACAACGACTCATATTTCTAAATTTTTTTTTTGCCTACACTAAATAATTAAACCTATTATCTTATCTCCTTGAGAAAACCTTTTTTCTTTTTTTTTCTTTCTTCTCTTTATCATAAACATATCAATAATTACAAATATACAAACATCATAAAGATGCGTGTTTATGTGTGAAAGGTAGAAAAAAAAAACCAGAGGGAGAAGGTTATTCAATACAGAGCAAGTGTAAAAAAAAAAAAAAAAAAAAAAAAAAAAAAAAAAAAAAACATGTAGAGAGATACAGAACATATAATAAGCAATTTATCCCATTGAAGAAAGAAGTCTTTTTCACAACGTGGCGTTCATTTATCTACCAGAGTGAAAGTAGATTGAATGCACGAAAAAAAAAGAAGAAAACAATGAAAAAGCAACAAACGCCACTTTTCTCTTCTTCACTTTTAATATAAAAAAAAGGGTAGAAGGAAGCTGGAGAAACACTGAAAGCAAGAAAAAATGAGAAACATAAAGTCAACAAGAGAAAAAAAAGTAAAAAAAAAAAAATCATATAGATAAAGTAGTGAAAGGCAACACTCACTACCCTACTAATGATTTCTACTCCTATCATTACTACTATTATATCACTATTCTCCTGAGGACTCTTTTTCTTTTTTTTTTTCTTTTGCAGCGATATGGTAGCCTATGCCCAACACACAGACAGAGAGACATTTACTCACACCCAAATAGATGCGTCCATATGCTTATAGTAAAAAATCATGTTCCCATATTTCTTTTCTTTTCAACGAAAATCACCACCCGTCAATGAACAAAAAAAAAAAAAAATAAATAATAAATAAATAAAATAGAAATTGTAATAATATGCAGAAAAAAAACATATTTAAAATCAAATAGAAAAAAAAAAACGAAATGCAGAGGTATCAAATAAAATACCAGCATCACAACGGATGTTCTCACTCTCTCTCTATATATATGAAAAAAATAAAAGTGAAAAAAAGGGTATCCATATTTTAGAGCGAAATAGACACCGCACCAACAAAGTTATCAGCTTTTGATGCAGCAACACGATTTACTTTCTTTTTCGGTGCAGTTTTTTTCGTCTTAGCGGCTCCTTTTTTGGACTTTTTGCTTTTTTGATTTTGTGAAGTCAATTTATGACCATTTCTTGCAGGTGATTCTACTGAAGTTTTCTTCTTCTTTTTCTCTACGCCATCTGCAGATGAAGAGCCCAATGAATTATCCGGATCTTTAGGCGATAGAGTAGCCGAACTCCCTACAACATCATCGACAACAGTAGGTGTTTGCTTACTGTTAACAGACTCTGTTGTTGAGTTTATTGTAGTATGAGCAACAGCAGCAGCAGCAGGTGTTTCCTTTACGTTAACAGATTCTGTTGTTGAGTTTATTGTAGTATCATCCTTATTATCAGCAGCAGAGGGTGATTTAACCGCAACTGTATTATCATCATTCAACTCATCTGCAGGATCCACGAGATCGATATCTCCTGCCGTGTGTTCATCTTCAAACTCAGCAGATAGAGGTTCTTCTGCTGTATTATTCAACTCTGTTTCCTCTTTTCCCATATCTCGCTCCTCTTTTCTTTGTTTATTCAGCGCCCGTCGATAAAACGTTGCGTGAATGACGAGTTGAAAAACCACTGTGTTGCTGCGATTCATCTCACGCCGAACTTTCCCTGACGAGATGGCGGGATTGCCATTCACCGACACAACGCGAACGGCCCGTGGTGAGGGAAGAGTGCTGCTGCTGAGGAAATGGCCGGCCACGACGGAGCCCGCGAGGAGCTCCGCCGGCAGGGGATTGAGATAAACGGAGGACTTGCGTTGATGGACATCTAACGTCCACGGCTCATCCAGCGAGCGGCGGGTGACTGTGAGCGTCGCCCAGGGATCCACGTGGCTGTTGGGGTGGTGGCTGCCACTGGGGTGAGTACTACTACTACTGCTACTAGTACTGCTATTATTATTATTATTATTATTATTGCTACTACTTTTACTTTTACCAGCAAGGTACTCATTCAGAGTGAAAGTTAGGAGTGTGGACGGTTTTGCTAACCATGCTCGGCAAAAGGAAAACATCAGAGCCTTTTTTTTTTCTTGTTTCTTTTTTTTTTTTTAAACTCTCTATGGTATATATATATATATATATAGGTTTATGTATCCTTGTCGCCCTTCAGCTAGTTTTCGATACCTTAAAAAGGGAAAAGATAAAAAAAAACCTATTGGATTCTATAGTTCTTTAAAAACTTTTATTATTCGTTAGCCTTTGTAAGAGACAGGTAAATAACACATATAACGAAGAAAACAAAAAAAGCAACAGAAAAAAAAGAAACCATACAAGTTCATCCCCACCCCAAGAGAGCAAAAAAAAAAAAAAAAATCAACAGAATATTTTATTCAAATGAATTTCTTTCAACCATCAGAGTTCAGATTAAACTGGGATAGTGAACCACATAACCTTCTGGTGTAACTAGTAGTAACACTCACCTTAACTCGCTCCTGCTCAACACTAACTGTAATAACAACATTTCCGTCCGAAATGTATATAAGCCGCCATTTCTCACATATAATTCATCCATCTGATTCCAAAAAAAAAACAAAACAAAACAAACACAGAAAAGAAGGAATAATAAGAAGAATAAGAAATGACTTTACACCAAAAAAATAAAGCCAATATGCCTCCTTTTTCTTCTTCTTTTCTTCTTCCCCTTCAACTTCACCCAAAGATACACATCATCCACGACCCTTTCCACTGTCTACCCTGGAATGTACTCTTCCTCTTCCTCTTCCTCTTCTTCACCATTCTTATCCACCTTCTCTGTTCCATTGCCATTATTGCCGTCCTTCTTCTCATGCGGGGTCTCTGTGCAGTGCCGCTTTGGTGCCGGGCCCGTCGCCTCGTCTGTGCGCATCACCGCAGCGCGGAGGGCGTCCACGCGGGCGGCGAAGTTCGCGCCGTTTGCCGTATCGTACGCGGCGCGTCGCTGCGGGTCTGCGAGGATGTTGTACGCCGCTGTGATGCGCTGGTAGCGCTGCCGCACCTCCGCCTCGCTGGCGGTCGTGTTTGTGCGGTACGCGGCGCGGTCGGGGTGGAGTTCGAGTGAGAGATGTTTGAAGCGGCGGGTCAACTCGGCGTGCGTGGCGGTCGCCGGCAGCCCGAGCTCGGCGTAGAGAGAAGGCGGCGGCGGCCCAGCGGAGGACATCACCCACTAATGAAAATAAAAAGTAAGAAATAAATAAATATGAAGAAAAAGAAAAGAAAAGGGAAAGAGAAACAAATAGGATATGTATGTGTGTGGGTTTGGGGAAACAGAAAAGGATTGAAGTAAAAGGAATAGTATATATATATATATATATATATATAGAGAGAGAGAGAGAGAGAGAGAGATATAGATAGCTAGAAAGAAAGGTAATATTACATCATGCTTTTACTTTAGCATATCTGAGAAATCACAAATCAAGTCATGCACAACATCCAACACTATTCCAAGAGGTAACCGTTAATAAATACCATGCGTTGGTTCTTTTTTTTTTTTTTTTACGAATACACACAACAACAATAACATCAACAAGCAAAATAAAATACAGAATAAGCCTCTAACCATTTTTCTTTCTCTTTTTACATTAGAGTCAGAAAAAAAAAGAAAAATTCAAGTTAAAAGCCATGGGTGTTTGTGTGTGCTTGTTAGTGCGTATGTGTGTGCATGTGTAGAGCGATAATAGTAGTAATTTACATATTGGAAAATGAATTTCTTTATGATAAAGTAAATATGGTAAGAAGTGTATGATCATCAAGAAAGTCTGCCAAATCAGAAATCATAGTACGTCGAATATCCAACTCATCCAGTGAATTCTTGCTACTTTTACTTGTATCCATCTCATTTTCTGTCGATTTATTATCATCATCATTTGAGAGAGGAATAGTCAATTTCTTCTCGAAAAGTATTAAACGTTCTTGGGCCCACTCGAACTCCATCTCTTTACAACCCTGTTTATACTCTTCCAACAACTTTGTGGAATTAAATTGGATTTCTTTCAATTGCATTTTCCTTCGTGACTCATCTGTGTAGTCAACCATCCATTTATGTACAGTGGCAGGCGTTACTATAGACTCTGTCTCTTCTCGTTCAATAGAAAGACGAACCCGCTCTTCCTCCCGCATTAATACTAACATCTCATGTTTAAGCATCCAACGATCCACTAGACGTTTCTCCTCATTTTCACAGAGACGACAAAAGAAGAGTCGTCTCTCTGTGTGTACTTTCTTTTCTAGTAGGATTAATTCACCCCGACGTTGATGTTCATATTCGACTAATAATTGAAGGGATAGGTTTATACAATACAATTCCAGTTCTTGTGCTCGAGATTCTTTTAGCTTTCGCATCATATTATTCGCAATACGTAAAAAATTATCGGGTTGAATTTCCCACTCTAGGGAACGACTCTCTTCCATCGTTAGAGCATCTCTTTCCCAATCTTCCATATCCATAAGCAACGTCCGCCGTGCATTTTCCTCTTCTGTAGTAATAACAAGTCTACAATCTGTTTGATATACATACATAAGATAACATGCCTCAACTCCTTCAAATGTTTCAATTTCACGACGGAAAGTTTCTTCTAAAGATAAAGTTTTAACAATATGGAGATATTGAAAAAAGTCCATATAAGGAGACCATCGTGTTCCACTATACCTTGGGGGAAAATAAGGTTTTTTTGGTTTCTTTACCTCTAATTGATCTTGTGTAGTAATAGTAATAGTAATAGTAGTAGTAGTAGAAGTAGTAGTAGTAGTATCATTATTACTATTATTACTCTCCTGAAGTGCAAGTTCCTTTTTTTCCTTTTCTTCTTCCTGTTTTGCAATTTTCATACAAAACGCATGATATCCCATTAATGTTTCAAAACTTTCTTGTTCATGCAATTCAATATTACGTAATACCTCAAATGCCTTCATACAATTTATTAACCGTGCCTTCATCAAGGCAAGTTCCTTCTTTCTCTGTGCAAGCAAAGCATTATGTAATACCTCATACTCACCTATTACAATAGAAACAAATAAACAGGGTAAATTGACTGCCGGCTCAAGTAGAATAGCAGACTCCTCCAGTACTTCCATATCCCACAAGAGACACCTACATGGAAGTGGATACTTACAAGAAATAAAAGAAGCAAGCAGAGAAATCCGCGCCCGTTTCTCTTCCGTAATGAGTTGCAGCAACTGCTGCCAGATGTTTAACTGCCGCAGAAAGGCATCCCATATTAATAATTTCCCCTCCAGCATTTCCTGCACAAGTCGCAGTTTGTGGCATCCCCGCTCCCACGGCTCCTCCACATTTCGCCATCGTTCCACCGCCTCGTCCGCCTCGAGTTGTTGGCGGTGAATTAAACGGCCGTTGAGTCGCGCCTCGCGTCTTTTGAAGGCGTTTTGTGTGAAGGCGGCGAGTGGGGCGTCGGAGTCGTACTGCAGCAGCGGCGAGGTGGCGGCGTAACTGCGGTGCAGAAGTGCCCGCTCCTGCTCCTCCGCGTACATGAGCCAATAAAGAGCGCGGGGGAAGAGAGGCGAGGGAGAAGAAGAAGAAGAAGATGATGATATCAACTGTTGTTGTTTTTCTTTTTCTTTTTTTTCTTCTTTTTCTTCGCTATTCTCTTCCATGGGTGTGTGGGGAGAAGGACAGATAGTATTATCTGGATTGGGCAAATAGGAGAAACGCAGTTTTGGGCGGAAGGCGACGGGGCGGTGCTGAGGAGCGGCGGGGTTGTACCGCGTTGTGGTCCGCTGCTGCTGCGGCAATAGTGGGATTTCAGCCATTATTTATTCTTTATATATATATATATATATATATCTTTTTTTTTTTTTTATTACTTACACACTGCCCTCAATGTGCTGCCGGGGGAAGGAACAGCAGAAAGAGAGAGATAGAGAGAGAGGACCAATAAAAATAGAAGAAGAAAAGAAAGAAAACTACTAAAAAAGAAGAGAAATAAATAAAGAATAGAAAAGAGATGATAAAAACGGAGGACATCCCAGTAGTTTTTTTTTCTAAAAGGGTAGTGAAGAGTTTATATTCACAAACAGAGACAGTTTGAGAGAAAGAAGATATAAAGATATATATAAATAAATAAATAAACAGAGAGAGACACTAGGATAAGAATAAAAGAAAAAAAAAAAAAACAAGCAAAAAAAAAGCAGTAAAGCAGTAACATAAAGGAAAGAAAAAATGTATTGTTCTCAACAGAGCTTCAATAACCGTGATGATACAAAAACAAACATAAATCAAACCATTATGAAAAAAGAAAAGAAAAACTCAAAGAGTGACATTTTACGGTTACCCCATTCATATCATTCTTATCACTTCAATTGTATTTCCCTCTTTTTTTTTTCTTTTTTTTTCCGTAAAAAAAAACAAACAAACAAAAAAAAACTCTTTCTTCGTTCTATTTCTTCAACGCAATACTACTCTTGTCAACCCCTTCACACTTCTATTCCACTCATACTCATTAAATAAATAAGAAAAAAGAAAAAAACGGAATGAGCCTCTAAATAAGGCGCAACAGCGAAAATAAAATAGAGGGATTAAAAAACAAAAACAAACAAACAAAAAAAAACATATACACTTTTCGGACGCCAATAAAAAAACATGAGGCGATAATAACAAAAGAAATACCTATAAGCAAAGGCATATATATATATATACTAGGGCATTCCAGGTATTCTTAAGCTAATATATACGTATATATATATATATATATATATATATATATATATATATATATACGTATATATCTACAATAGAAGAAATAAACTCCTCAATGCATTCTTTTTTTTTCATTCGCTTTTATCAGTCGTTTATATATGTATATATTTTTTTTCTCCCTCGTTTCGCATTTTCTTTCTTTACGTACCATTTGGATTTGGTTTTCTCTGAAGACCTTCTTTCATTTTCTCAGACGCGAACAGTAACACGTTTAACGATGAACGGAAATGCAAGAATTCTAACAGGAGAACAAAGCAATAACGGCAAAAATAAAAAACCATAATAATATCAATAGCTTTTGTGGATGTACACAAGTGTATATTATCTATATATATATATATATACATATATATATATACATATATATAGATACTAAAGGAGAAAGATTGAGTGTATACTGTAAACTTCATGTAATTATAGACTCCCATCACAACACCCTCCCCCATTCCCCCACACCCACCACAAGTGAGAAAAAAAACAAAAAAACCCAAAAATCGGAAAAAAAAAACGAACAAAAAGTCTTTTTTTCTTTTTTACATCAGAGTGGTAATACGTTTTGATAACGAACAAAACACGTACATACACAGAGGCAAATAAAAAAAAGGAGAAAAAAACAAAAAAAAAACATGTACAACAAGTAGAAAGAAAGTATATATATATATATATATATATATATACTTTGAGATCACGTACACACTTCTGTTATCATTGGTTTTCCTCTCTAATTGTATATACTCCTCTATTCACTTTTACTCTCTCTCTCTCTTACCGGGCAGTCGCAGAGCCGCACACTCACACATATACAGTTGCAAAAAAAAAAAAAAAA